AACAGCTAGTTGTGCCCAAGTCTGCCTCCAACTGCAGAAGAAATGGGACCATCAAATACATTGGCTTCCCAGCCTCTGTAGTAGAACACAAAGGAGTTGTGAGGTTGGGGACATGCAGTTCCCAACCTGCCACAAATCCATAATGTACAAAGGAACCATTCGTTTTCCTAAAGCAACGAGGTCAGGGACAGGGCTCTCTCAGCACTGACAGATGGTTACTCTGGATAGTGGCATGAGGGTGATGGGGCTAGAAGGGTGCTTCACTCTTGTTCATTTGCTAGCTAACACTGAGTAACTCCTGTGTCAGGCACTCGATGTGGTGCTGCATACAGGGCAGTTCACAAGCAAACTTAGGTAGCTGAGACTCTATCGGCAGTAACAATGAAGACAAATGCTCTCAAGGTGCCAGGCCGGGTGTGTGTGTGGGGGGGTGCGTGGGGTGTGTGTATGTGGGGGTGCATACCTTTAATCCCAGCACTCGGAGGCAGAGGTGGGCAGATCTCTGAGTTCGAGGCAAGCCAGGAATACACAGAGAGAATCCTTTCTTGAACCTACCCCCCATACCAAAAAAATCTCTCAAGGAGTGAGAAAGTGTGCTACACAGTCATGAGGACCCGAGTTTGGATCCCAGAACTCTTGCAACAAGCCAGGCTTAGTCTTGTGCCTGTGACCCCAGTGCTGTCACCTAGCTGAAAATTCTGAGTTTCAGGTTTGGAGGGAGACTGTGAATCAAAAGAATAAGGCAGAGCGCTTTCATTCCTACAGAGGCACACCAGTCATGTAACATGTGTGCTCATACCACACATGCACACACACACACACACATCTATCAGGAAACATAACTACAGATATTTTGGGGGCTGGGGTTGCAGCTCAGTAGTAACACATTTGCCTAGATGGGTCAAGGCTCAATCCCCTTTACAAAAACAAACAAACAAACAAACAAACCCAAAACAAAAACCCCTTACAAAGCACTATGAAGCATGATTTAGTTATGGGTTTAGGAAGTTCTCTCTGAGGAGATGAACTTTAAGTTTGCCTTTGTGAAAAATGAGAACATACACACCAGGTGAGGGAAGGGCAGTTGGTGGAGCAGGAAGAACATTCTGGACAACGGAACAGTATTATTTGAAGACCAGGGATAAGAAGAAACAAATGGCAAGGCCAGGCAGTCAGTGTTTGGAAGTGGCAGTGCAAAGGAGTTACTTTGGACTTAGAGTACAAGAGGCCACTAAAGCACGCACAAGCCTATTTTGGATCCTGAGGCCGGAATACTTTGAGAAGGTCAGTAATGAGTTGACAGGAGAAGTTTCACCAGAGCAGTGCCACGTGGCTTAGACTTGAGTTACAGCTGGAGAGAAGTGGATGGAGGAGAACCAACAGTGTTGGCAAAGTTGATCTTGAAAACGAGAAAGGAGGAGGTGTCAAGAATGAAGCCCAGGATTCAGGGGCTATGGAGGTTCGATTTTCTAAATGGAGATTCCACAGAGAGACCGCTTATGGGAGAGTGGGAAGAACCATTCTTTATTATTCATTCATTCATCATGTACTTCTGATGTACATGCCATGGCACACACATGGAGGTCAGAAGACAACTTTCAGGCATCAGTTTTCAATCCCCTGGGTTTGGAAATCTCACTTAGGTCCCAAGGCTTATGCAGCAAGTGCTTTTACAAACCCTGAAACCATTTTGCTGACCCAAGTGTTCTCTTTAAATGGCAAAGTTTGAGACATACAAGGTGACAATGTTGGAGTCCTATGGTATTGACCCACTGCTTAGGAGGAACGTGTGATTATAAAAAGTTAATCTGTAAGTGGGTGGCATTTGCTTATAGATAAGGTCTCATAGCCCAAGCTGGCCTGGAACTCACTATGTAGTGCAGGCTGGTTTCAATCTCATGATTCTCCTGCTCAGCCACCAAGACTGTTCGGTGAGAGTAAAGCTGTGGAAGTTGACAGGGCATGCAGGTCGTGAGCATGCATGCAGTGAGCAGGGATGGGGGCTTGTGCAGATACTGGGGGACCTCCAACATCCCGAGGCTAGTCATGGAGAAGCCAGAGGGCACACTGAGGAAGGTAGAATGTGCCCAGAGATATTCGGGTAATGGGAACAAAGTATAGAGGTGTTCTGTTTTGTCCTTGTTGGCCACACATGAAGATTCTGTGTGTCAGAACAGTGGAGATCATGGGGTCATTGAATTGGGCAGCATAGAAGTAACCAAAAATTAGCTTAATTCTGGAAAATACATAAAGAAGGTAGAATGATGAATGAACACTATAGATTATCTTTCAAATGTATAGGTTAGCACCCCACCCCAAATAAAGGACATTTCTGTGGGTTGAAAAAAAAAAGATCAACCACGGGATCTTTTTTGTATGCGTGTCCATGTGTGGTGGTGAATGTACACGTGTGCATAAGTGTGGACTAGGGCGTGACCTCAGGCGGTGGTCCTCAGAAGCTGTCCACCTCATTGGTCAACATCCCATCAAGCAGCCCCTCTAGCCTTCCATCCAGTACAGGAATCTGTCTGAATCCCCTTGTCTAACACTGCAGGCCTACCCCACGGGGCCCACTTGTTCTATGGGCTCCAGGGATGGCGCTCCTGTAGCATCATGGAGATGCCTACATAGCAACCCTTCACTGACTGACCTCTTTCCCCGGATGAAGCACAGGGCCTCAACTGGTTGTGAAACTGTAATTTCCCTGGGAGGCATTTGTCAGTTTGGACAAGTAAGAAGCTTAGACTTAGAGCTGGAGCAATGGCTCAGTGGTTAAAGCACATGGTAATCTTCCAGAGGATCAGAGTTTGAGTCTCAGCACCCCTGTCATAACAACAGCTGCTGAGGAGGAATGTATACTCACCCACAAATACACACACACGTGCAAATGAAAAAATAAAAATAAAGTCATAAGGAAGGAACTTGAGCTTGACAGTGGACAAGAGACAGAGCCCTTTGAGACCTTAGAAAGCTGGGCAGTTAGCACTGAGACCTGCCCTCCTTTCTGAGGAAGCTGGACTCTCCAAAGGGTAGTATGTTGAGTACCTACCTAGGACATAGATGACAAGGAAAATTGTCTTTCTTGACTTGGGTTTTAAATGGTGAAAACTTTAAAAACTTTCTTGACAACTAAAAAGCACACTTTGTCCCACGTGTATTTGGGTCTAGATTACAGTGGATACAAAATTAAAAGTCATACCAGGTGTTGCATACCTTTAATTCCCAGACTCAGGAGATTGAGGCACGAGGATCTCTGTGAATCTGAGACCAGCCCGATCTACATATTGTGCTCCAGGGCAGCCAGAACTACACAGAGAGACTCTGTCTCAAAGAAGAAAAAGAAAAAAGAAAAGAAATCACATTATACACAATTTAGTAGGTACAAGAGCATTTGGCAAAACCAAAGACAATCCAACTTGGAAGAGCATATCCACTATCCCAATCCTCTCCACAAATGATCTCCTAACAAAAATAAGAGGACACAAAAGGGAAGTGCACAGAAATTCATGAAAGACAACACACTACAGAGTTAGACTCTTGGGAGCATTACCGGCTGCTGCGTGGTAATGCATGCTCACTGTTTTTGAAGAGGTAGTAGGATGTAAGCAGTGTGTCACCTCCAAAATAGAGACAGGTGTTTAAAAGAAAAAGGGAATTGTGCTGGTTAACTTTAACTGTCAACTTGTCACAACCTAGAATCAACTAGTAAGTCCTTTTTGAAAAAAATGTAGTTTTCCAAGTTTTAATTATATGTAAGCGGTGTGTGCCCACAGAGGCCAGAGGTATTGGATCATAAGAAACCAATCTCTTATCCTGGAAAAGCAACAGTGGTACCTTCTCCTCCTCCTATCCTTATTCTGAGCCTTCTCTCCAGCCCTGGGAAGAGATTCTCAATGAGGAATTACCTAGGCCCGGTAGGCTTGTGGGTGTGCCTGTACAGACTGTCTTGAATGTTCATTGATAAAGAAAGATCCAGCCCATTGTGGGCATTACTATCCTTAGGCAAGGGGTCCTAAACTGTATAAACAGAAGAAAGACAGATGGATGACAGGAAGCAAGCATGGGTGCATTTGTTCTCACTGCTCTTGACTGTGATGTGCCTAGATGTCTTAAGTTCTTCTCACCTTCCCTGTAACTGATGGTTTCCTGGAATTGTAAGCCAAATAAACCCATTACCCCTTAGTTGTTTTTTTGTCAGCAACAGGACTGGAACAGTTATGCTTCTAGTAACAAAAAGGTAAGTATTTAAAAGAATACTTCAGCTGGTGCTCTCACTTAGTGGTCGAGTGCAAGGCGCTTGGATTCACCCCCAACACCACAAAAACAAATAAATAGTGCGCGTCAGTGGTGCTTCAACTGCACACTGTATATAACTGAAGTGAGAATGGACAAGTGGGAGATCTGGCATCACCCAGGAACAAGCACAGATCCGGAGCACGGGAAGAATGGGAAGGTTCATCCTGTATCTAAATGAAGAGAACCAAGAGAATGTCGGGAAGAGCATATTCCAAGCATAGGCGTGGGAATCTTCTAGAGGCCACGAACTGAAAAGGACTCCTTTCTCTGCAGCGTTAGGAATCCCGGCGTGGCCTTGTAAGTTGAGTATATTTATCCTGCACACACAAAGCAGTGGAACTGTAGGACACTGAGGACGGAGATTTGAGCGTGGGCTGGCAGACGAAGACAAAAGGGCCATAGATTGGCTTGATGGTAACCCTACACAGGGGCCAGGGAAAGTAGAAGCCACGGCAACAAGTGACACCGGGGCCTGATGAGAGCGCCACTGTCGCTCTGGGCCTAGCTGGGCCTCTGGAACCTGCTTGGGGATAGAGGACTGTGCATATCTCTAAAGAAAGTCTTCCCAGAACCAGGCAGGACGGCCCGGGATGGTGCTCCTCCGGAAGCCCTTAGCGCGAGAATTTCCTCCAATCTCGTGAGAGCGGCAGCGGTAGCGGCCGGTGCGCAGGCGCGTGAGTGCGCCGTCGGTTCTGGAACGCGACCGCTGGGGAGCCCGGCGCCATGTTGACCCGGAGGGGTACCAGGGGAAGCGCTTGAGGCGGCGGGCTCGGAGCGGAGCGGGGGCCGACAGGGCCGGCCGGCAGGAGCCCGCCCCTCGCGCCTTCGGATCATGAGCCGAGCAGAGGCCGCCGAGGTCGCGGTGGCGGGGCAGGTGCCCTGGCGGCGCGGGAGCTAGAGATGATGCCATTTGTGGTGACCACCCAAGGAGCACAACAACCGGCTCCCGCCCCGAAGCAGTTCGGCATATCGTCCCCCATCAGCCTGGCCGCCCCCAAGGACACAGACCGCGAACTCACCCAGAAGCTGATCGAGACCCTCCAGCCCTTCGGGGTGTTTGAAGAGGAAGAGGAACTGCAGCGCAGGATTTTAATTTTGCAGAAATTAAATAATCTGGTGAAGGAATGGATCCGAGAAATCAGTGAAAGCAGGAATCTTCCACAAGCTGTAATTGAGAATGTTGGGGGGAAAATTTTTACATTCGGCTCTTACCGACTAGGAGTACACACGAAAGGTGCAGATATCGATGCGTTGTGCGTTGCACCAAGACACGTAGATCGAAATGACTTTTTCACCTCCTTCTATGACAAATTGAAACTACAGGAGGAAGTAAAAGATTTAAGAGCTGTTGAGGAGGCCTTTGTGCCAGTTATGAAACTGTGTTTTGATGGAATAGAGATTGATATTTTGTTTGCAAGATTAGCATTGCAGACTATTCCAGAAGATTTGGACCTACGAGATGATAGTCTGCTTAAAAATTTAGATATTAGGTGCATAAGAAGCCTTAATGGTTGCCGGGTAACTGATGAAATTTTACATCTAGTACCAAACATTGACAGCTTCAGGTTAACACTGAGAGCCATCAAATTATGGGCCAAATGCCACAATATCTATTCCAATATATTGGGTTTCCTTGGAGGTGTTTCCTGGGCTATGCTAGTAGCAAGAACTTGCCAGCTTTATCCAAATGCAATAGCATCCACTCTTGTACGAAAATTTTTCTTGGTGTTTTCTGAGTGGGAATGGCCAAATCCAGTGTTGTTAAAAGAACCAGAAGAACGAAATCTTAACTTGCCTGTATGGGACCCAAGAGTGAATCCTAGTGACAGGTATCATCTTATGCCTATAATTACACCAGCATACCCACAGCAGAACTCCACGTACAATGTGTCTGTTTCAACCAGGATGGTCATGATTGAGGAGTTTAAGCAAGGGCTTGCTATTACACATGAAATTCTGCTGAATAAGGCAGAATGGTCCAAGCTTTTTGAAGCTCCAAGCTTTTTTCAAAAATACAAGCATTATATTGTACTTCTGGCAAGTGCACCAACAGAGAAACAACATTTAGAGTGGGTAGGCTTGGTGGAATCAAAGATCCGAATCCTGGTTGGGAGCCTGGAAAAGAATGAGTTCATTACTCTGGCACATGTGAATCCCCAGTCATTTCCAGCACCAAAAGAAAATGTTGACAAGGAAGAATTTCGTACTATGTGGGTGATTGGGTTAGTGTTGAAGAAGCCAGAAAATTCTGAAATTCTCAGTATTGATCTCACCTATGATATTCAGTCTTTCACAGATACAGTGTACAGACAAGCAATAAATAGTAAGATGTTTGAGATGGATATGAAGATTGCTGCAATGCATCTAAGAAGAAAGGAACTTCATCAGCTACTTCCAAATCATGTTCTTCAGAAAAAGGAAGCACATTTAGCGGAAGGTGTACGATTGACAGCTGTGAATGAGAGCAGTCTTCTCTTGTCTATAGACAGTGAAAGCAGCATGGCTGCACCTTCTCCTACTGGCACTATCAAGACAGGCCCACTGACTGGAAACCCTCAGGGCAGAAACAGTCCTGCTCTGGCTGTTATGGCAGCATCCATGACCAACATACAGTTTCCTGATGTTTCCTTGCAGCATGTGAGTCCTATAGAAAGCTCGGGGATTGCACTGAGTGAAAGCATCCCTCAGATTCCCTCACAACCTACCATTTCACCACCACCTAAGCCTACAATGACCAGAGTTGTTTCTTCGACACATCTGGTAAACCATCCGTCTAGACCTTCAGGAAATACAGCAACGAACATACCCAATCCTATACTAGGAGTCTAGAAGACATTCTCACCTGAGAAGAAGAAAGGAACAAGAAACCCAACAGAAGGGAAGGAACCAGATAGACGAGTTCAGCTTAGACACTACTCAGACAGCAGCTTCTCTGTTGGCCTCTCAGGAAACACCTGGGAACAGATAAGCCCGGTATCCCTGTTTTTCCTAGAGATCCTATTCCTTTTATTGAGAGTTCAATAAAACAGATTGAATGGATAGAAACCACCTCAAAGGCCCTTACACAAATTCTTGCAAATTGAACTTGTCGCTTTCAGATGTTAAAGGAAAATGAGGGAACCAGACTAGATATGACTCAAAATAGATTCATACTCGATTGGTAACTTTTTTTTACTGGCCTAATCTTGAACCAAAGTCCAGATTAGTATTCAAAACCAGAAGTACTGTTACTCATGCCTCAGATCATTAGCGTGTTGATAGTAGTTACATTATTTAGGAGAACTATGATTAGAAAAGAGAAAAAGCCCTCCAGCTGTATTCACTTCTGCCCATGACTGACATTAGAATTGGATTTATGTTTAATTCACTGTTGGGAGATTTGCAATATAATCTATCAGAACCCCTTATTTTAGCACTTTATGGGATTTTTTTTCCATTAGGAACTAGAACTAATTTTTGACTTTCCACTTTGGTGAATTTTCACTTTATTTCCTCCCTGAAAAGATTTCCTTACTAATTTTAAAGAGTTGCATGCTATTTTTTTTTGTAGTAATATACACGAGAAAGCACAAAATATGTATCTCAGTTCCCAGGAGGTGGCTACACCCTTTAAAATGGAATGTAAACTCCGAGGGCATTCATTTGACATCAAAACCATAATTACTAAGTATTTGGTTTCTGTGGGACAAGATCAAGAAATGGTATATGAGTTTTATCTGTAGAATTGTTTGGGAGAATGTATAATCAGGAACTAGGTATTTTCTCAGAGTTCCACATTCTTTTGTCCTTAATCATTTGTCCTCAAACAAAAAAACCTTTGCCTTCTCCTCTCTGCATTAAGCATGCATGCATTCATGCGTGTATATTGCTTCTTAAAAGTCCAGGACATTAATATCTAAACCATAATGTGAATCCAAAAGTTTTTTGGCCACATGGCACAAAACACCAAATTCTGACTCCGTGGTTAATATATCAGGAAAACTTGGGTCAGTGTTCTGTTTTCATCTCCATGGATGTGAGATTTTCTAGATCACAGAGTATCTGCTTTGGAAGAAAACTAGTTTCCAACTTTAAATATGTAGGCAAAAAGGCATTTTTACTCTTACAAATGTTAAGCCATGTTTTATTTTAATGCTGTAGCAGAATTTATCAGATTATATGTGTACAGTCATACAAAAAAATAATTTCCACAAAGCACTTGACATCTAGTCAGCTTTCTACTTTTTCCCCAAATCTCAGGGATACCCTAAATTAGAGCTGCTTCTCAATGAAGTAGCAGAATCCCCGTATGTAGGAACTATGAGGGCCAACAGATGTCACTGAATGATAGTTTTAGTCTTCCTTAATCCAGCTACAGTAAACTTAACAGCTCTTCCAAGCAGCCAGGTCTGTCTCCCTTTCCCTCTAAAGCTCTTCCTTTCTATTCTGCCTGTTTTCTCCCATGTCAAGTCAGAATTGTTTAACCCTTCTTGTCCTTCTAGATTCATTTTCAGTGTTGGACTATAGTCTTTTCCCTTTTAAACTATGCAGTAATTGAGACTTTCTGATACCTAGACTGCTGGACCTCTGTCTGTCACACCTCTGCTCCGTGCACGTTCACCTTGCCCTTCACCATCGTGGGAAAGCACACGGTTTCTGCATTTCAGATAGCTATGGTGTCTGCTGGAGACGGCCAGGCACAAATTTAGTCTCCTCATTTTGTTTACACATTGGAAAAATGTTTATTAAATGTTTTGTGTAACTATGCCTGTTTTTTTTTTTAAGCCAAGCTGGAAACTTGGGACTTTTGAAGTCTAGTTTTTATTACATGAATACCAGTCTATTTTTTCATGTGATGTGCGTAGTGTCTCCTGCCTGGAGTTTGCTGTTACGTGCTATCTGTATTCCTTGTATTTTCAAGCACTATTTTGAAAGCAGATAATGTATTTCTCCATTACAAACACAATAAAAATAAATGCCAAACAACCTGGAACTAAAACACTGACCAGATGTTTAAGTCTGATATAAGAATTCAGATGTCCTTTTTCTTTTTAATTTTTTAGGGTTCTTGGGATGGAACCCAACAACCTTGTATGCACAAGGCAAGTGTGCTCTGCCATAGAGCTGCATCCCGGACCCAGACTTTCTTCATTGTTCTGAAGGAGGTGGCAGGGCTGATGACCTTTCCAACTTTATGACATGGAAAGCGCAGGTTGTATTGCCTGTGGAGGAGATACAAAGGGTTCAAATGTCAAAAGGAAAGACTTTAAAAGGAAGATAGGAAGGGAGTCAGTTAGCATGGTGGTGCCAGGGCTATAAGCACGACCCTTTGGAAGCTGAGGTAGAGAAGGACTTTTGTTTAGGAGTTGGTGACCAGATTCTGTTTAGTGAGACCTGAAGGGATATGCTGAGGGACTTGGGGAGGGGCAGGGGTGCACTGCGTAAGTGGAGAGAAGAGAAGGGTCTAGGAGGAGGCAGAGCTGCAGGAAGTGGAGCTTGTCCGTTTTAAGTGTACTGAGAGTACTTAGGAGGAGGACAGGAGGGAGGAGCTGCAGTGAGGTGGAGTTGGTCGGTCTGGGCTGGGGAGCTGCTGCTGAGATCGAAGGAACATACCAAATGTGAGGACATGGGGTGCAAGTGAGAAAATTTGCATAGGGACAGGAGGGCCTCACGTTAATGATAGGAGAGACCTTGCTAGGGAACGGGGGTGCTTCGTGACATGCTTGTCCTAGATCCCTTAGCTGCAACAGAAAATAGCAAAGCAAAAATGATTAGTCTTCAAAGTATGCCATTATCACACAACATTTAAAATCAGTTAACACTGAGCCACTGGGCAGCCTAGTGTAATAGTTACTGAACGTTTCCTCCGAAGGACTGCCTAGTGAGTAGTTTCAGCTTTGGAAACCGTATGGTCTCTGTCACAACCACTTAACTCTGCCCTGTAGAGTGAAGAGACAGATAATACAGCAGCAGATGGCTCAGTCTGGATTTGTCACTCTCCCCACCCCCAGCAAGCATTGGCCACAATAATCCCATGGATATTATCATACACCCCACTACTCAACAACTGGCAAATGCACCCCGTTCTCAGGGAACTACTGGGCATGTGTAGCAGTCAGAAAATAAGGGTCAGTCTATTTCTAAGTATCAACATATGACTGTAGTATTATAAGTTAGAACTCAGTAACAAGCGAAGGCTAGCAAGATGACTTAGAAGGTAAAGGTACTTGCTGTAAAAAGCCTAGTGATGTGAGTTCGATCCCTGAAACAACTCATCATGGAAGTAGAGAACAGACTCCTGACACTTGACCTCTAGATCTCTATATTCTAACTGTGGCACATGTGTGCCTACATTCACACACACACACACAAATACACAAATTATTAAAAAAAAGCCAAGTGTGGTGATGTAAGCCTCTGATCTTAGCACTCAAGAAGTGGAGATAGGAGATTCCAGAGTTCGAGGCCAGCCTGGGCTAATTAATGGGACCATCTCAATAAACAATTCTAATAAACAATAGCATGGACATTTTACCACAGGCCCACACACAGGATTCCACTTTTTCTACTCTTAGATCTTTGCATCATGCTCTGAGTACTGATACGACTCATCTCGGTGATGAATCTACTTCATCAAGGAGACTATACACCCTCTAGTTACCTGCAGTGTGCCATGTAAAAACAGTACTTCCCTATATCTGGTATGGTGGCAGAAAAGTCCAAGAGCCTCTTGTCTGATGGTAACCAAAAGACAAATGCACTATTGAGAGGTGATAGCCCAAAGTTAGAAACCACACAAAGAAACCTGACCATCAGTCCAGGTTCTATGGGGTACCACCTTCTTGCAGTAAGAATCCTAAATCTATGATGTCAAACAAGCCATGGCTTCATGCACCCATGAAGGTGAGGCTAGTCATGCTAAGGAAGAAAGCATATCCTTCCAAAATACATAAAGTGGGAAGTAATTTATATAAGGTTTACATGCAAAGTAGAGTGGTATAACTCAGGGTTATCACTGTGTAACAGGACTGGTGCTTTAGTGCTTGCCTGGAATCCCAACACTCAGGAGGCTGAGGCAGGACGTTCCAGGCTCAAACCTAGCTTGGACTACAAAGCAAGCTGCGGGCCAGCCTTGACACCTTAGCAAGATCCTGTCTCAAAGCAGACCAAAGATCAAATGGCATTCTCTTCATTTTTTTCCTCATTTGCTGTGATAAAATAGTTTACAAAAGCAATCCAAGGGAGAAAGTGTTTATTCTGGCTTTCAGTGAAAAAGGAAGACATGGAAGCAGGAGGAGGAAGCAAGCCAACACACTTCCTTGGCAGGAAGCAGAGAAGTACAAATGCAAACTATGTAGAGTCGAGTATCTCAGCTAGGGAATGGTGCTGCCCACAGTGGGCAGGTCTTCCCACCCCAGTTAACCCAAGATAATTCCCCATCATGCCCAGAGGGGCATTCTGGATTCTGGTTGACAACTGTGACCATCACAGAGTTTAATTAAATGGCAGTAAGAACTAGCTGTTTGCCTTTTGTGGCAAGAGGTGGGAGACCAGCAGATTGCAGTGGCCGTAGTTTTGGGTTGGTGTAGGTGCAACAGTGTTCTTTTTTAATCTCTGGAAATTGGGAGCACCACCTTGTGTGTGGAATGGTTTATAATTCGAGATGCAATACTAAATGTGATAGTTTATAGACCTTTGGAGATCAACTAGGAGTTGCAGTTGGCCATGCATCACTGAAGTTGATACAGGTCTGTTTCTTTCCATATACTAGGTGCTACATTCAGGATGGGTAGGGCGGTTTCCCCTGGTCCCCGAAGCCCTGGGCTATCTCAGCCCCACTGCACTGCTTCATGCCTTTCCTCTTCAGGGTTGTTAAGGGCAGGATGATTTGGGGGGAAAGGCCAAAATATTTTTGTGTAGTAGCTACTTTCATGGTGATGTGATCAGACAGCAAGACGTAACCTAAGGGGCTAGAGCGATGGCACGCTGGTTAAGGATGCTCCCTGCTCTGTCACAGGACCTGAGTTCTGTTCCAGCACACACGTCAGCAGATTCACAACCAG